AAGAGGAGGAAGAGGAAGAAAACTATGAGTCTCTTCCACAGATATCTATAACAGATGCTTTGGAGAGTCTATATAAACTCCGGCTTTTCGAGGAGCAGCAGGTGGATGGAAATAAGGCCTTAATCCAGCAACTTCTCTTCCATGAGAGGACCCTTTTGAGAAAGAAGGTTAGCAGACAGCAGCAGAGTGATATACGAGACTTCTTTTGTAATTAGATGACGTCTATATATATATTTATGGCAGCAAGCTCGTATAATCCGATATAAGCAATACTCCGTTATAAGCAATTTCCGCGACCTGCCGAAATAGTTGCTTATAACGGGGTTTTACAGTAGTTACCATTGTCGTCCTTAGACTAGAGCACGGGGTCCGGAGTAATATTCCTGTGGTCGTTGATTGGGGATGAATGATTATTCCCCCACTTTCGCAGTGCAAGTACACCACGGGGGGCTGTCTACCCTACAGAGTCCCCGGTGTACAAAACTTTTCTAGTCTAGCGAGTATGCAGTAGTAGGTGCATTGGTACCTGCTGACGGATTGACGTGTTTGTATATCGTCCAACTGTTGTTTTCTAGCTTTGCTTGTGTATATATGCAGCTGGATGAGACAGGAATTAGTGTATATTTGTTCGCCTGAGCTGAGTGTGACTCATTTTTAGTCGATACGAATATTACTTTTTTTTTTTTTTTTTTTTTTTTTTTTTGGCCCCTATTGAGTAATTTGTGCATGGAGGAATGTTGGCATCTGTTGTTAATTGGAAATTGAGAATTAAGAGTTAGTAGAAGCAAGCAAACCCCGAGCAATGCAGTAAAATCAGAGCGTTTTCAGTCTTTCCGCCAACTCGAGCACGGTCTCTGCGTTTCTGACATCAGTGGGAAGAAAAAAACCCGCCTTTATGCTACTGGTTGGCTTTGATCGCCGTTTATCACCACGCAAAGGCCACTTGCCAGTTGGAAAATCGTAGTTCTGAAAGACAACTGGCCTCACGTTGGCTTCACCTGGTTTCCCAAGGCACAGAATACTACTAGACTGTGCACATACGATAGATGGTAACGGTTCATGGCTCGTCCTCCAAAGTAGACTAGCGCTGGATGAGGACGAGCGGAATTGGTGATCCCAATAGTATTCCACGCATTCGATGACGGCTTTCTACACCTTCTTTGGTGCGTGGTCGGTTTTGATGGAAGTTGTAACCACAGGTTCTCCGCCGAGAGCGTATTTATACGGTGCCCATTCGTTAGCTACATTGACGTCCGGTGGTTCACTGTACTCCTCAGGCAACTGGAAACGGGCGAGAGGTTTTCCAGCCATGCCTTCGAGTGCTGCAAGGTAGTACCCGGCATCCTGCTTGTTAGCAACTGACGGATTGAGCGTTTTGATCATGTACCTGACAAACAGCCCTCCAAGAGACCCTGGCACCCCACCGTTCCAGTCCGCGTGTATATCATCGACGTTGTAGTAGACCAGAAGGGCGAATCCCAAGATCAGGATGCGGATGCCTATTGCAGACGGAAACTTCTCTCGTATGGCGTCGAGGTCTTCCCGCAATAGGCATCTCCTGGGGTTGATGCGCCTTGCAATGGGATCCGGCAGTATGGCCCTGTCAGACCAACACCTGCGGAATCTGGGTACGATGTGTAGTTCTCTTCCTGCGATATGGGTTGGGGCTATTGTAGTATTGTTTGTCTCCCATACAACCCATATAAGCTTACCATTTGCATCCTTTTTCACGGACACATAAGGTTGATTTGACAGTGCTGGGTGGTGTGTTATAATAAGCTGTTCGTTCTCGGGGCTTACATGCTCTTCCTGAGAGGCGCGTACAGCAGCCTATTCTGGAGTTCCCCATTCTGTTGATTTCTTGTTGACTGCTATGCGTTAGTCGAGGAAGATGGGAGTGAAGAGGTTCTGCTCACAGGAAACACCGTATTGTACGACAGACAGCTCTTTGTCAAGACCTTTGTCCCAGTCTAGCATGGATTGGGGTATTTGGGGGATAGCTGTAAGACATGGCGTTAGTGTTCAGTGTTGGTTTGGGGGTTATATTGTTGGTTGTGTTCTGGTTGTGTTCTGGTCAGCATTCTTGGTGAAGTAGAAGTAGAGCAGGCAGCAAGCGGAGGACAACACAGGTATTCTGTACACTTATCTACTATACTGTCGCCTGTCATCACATATGACAGCCACGTGATCGGGACTAGACTCATAGTCAAAGGCGGTGTGGAAGGGCAGCAACAGCACAGCCATAAATTCCAATTATTTGGAGTCAGAGAGTCAGACATGAGGATATTATAGTACTACTAATAGAATTAATAGTAATGTAATGTGATGCTATGTATTGTTTTATTTTTCTTCTTGGCCTGTAGGATCATGTCTGTTAGAGCCGCTGTTGTGGCGACTCAAAAAAGAAAAAAAAAAAAAAAAAAAACGGGGAAAAAAAAAAAAAAAAAAAAAAAAAAAAAAAAAAAAAAAAAACCGAGGGTCCAGACTGATTGGGCCGGATTTGCTGGTTTGGTTCGGTACGGGTGTGTATTTTATTTGTACTTGACAGTATTGAAGATGTTTATGATGATTTTATGGGAATACACAATCATAATATCTAAAGAAGGTCTATTATTGACGGAGTACTACTGTCAATTAAAGACTAATATAACTAGAGAGTAGTTACTTGTATCTATACTTGTGAATTAGTAAGGCGCTGCATACCGTAAATACCCCTGTAATGCCGATACAGCATCACAACCGTTTCTCCTTTCTTTTTCGTTCTCCTCCACTTTTCCTTCCATCCTCTTCTTTTCTTCCTCTTCTCCATCCCTCCTCTTCCTCTTTTTCTCTCTCTCCAACCCTTTTTTTCTTCACTTCTTCGTCTTCTTCACTAAGACGGAGTATTGACTTCTCTTTTTTTCTCCTTCCTCTCTCTCTCCTCTTCTCTCCGCCTCTTTCCTTTTCCCGCACTCAACGAGCTTTTCACTAAGTGTCGTTGCCTGTCGTGGTCGGGGTTTTTCACCAACCTCAACACACTGGTTGACGCGAGCAATAGAACAGCACAAAACAACACCAATCTATTCTCGTCTGATATCCCTTTTTTCTTCCAGTTGCCACGAATTTGCTTCTTTCGTGTCTCTCACCGTCGCCAATTGTCCTTGAGTCCGCTGACCGTCCGTCCGCCCCCCGTTCATACGCGTCGGTTATAAAAAAAAAAAAAAAAAGTCGGCAAGGCCACACCAATCTCGCCAAACGATCGTCGTTTGAGAGCCACACGCAGCTTCTCGCATACGCTAAATCAAATATAAATAAAAAAAGAACACTTTTCGCCTCCGACCGCTACTTTCACTCTTTATATTTTGGTTTACTTGTTTTTTCCTTTGCGTCGTCTTCAGTCGATCTGTGTGGTTGAATTCTGCATCTCCATATGTTTTTCGACTAAAGAGACATTCACTGGACAAGAGACAGAGTCGCGGCTCATTGAGCAACGCTCTTCCCTCCCAGGATCAGGACCTGGCGGACGTGTAGACGGTTGGTGCTCTTTTTCTTTTTATCATCCCTTCAATTGCATTTGTTTCAATATACTGACGAAAGAAAAGCTCTATTAGAATCCGTCTACCGCCCCGTCCTGAACTGGCGATCTTCCCCCACCCCTCTCGCCATTATGCCGTCGTTCTTCGCCCCGGGCCTCCAGGGCCTGCCTCCTACTCCTCCTCACATCCTCGGTGGTGCTGGAATGGAAAATGAACCTCCTTTCTACGTGGTCGGACAGTCTGCGTTCCCTCCCCGTTACTCTCAGAACGGTTGTGAGTTCATCGAACAGTACTCTCAGTCCACCGGTTATGCGAAAACCGGTCCGATGAACCTGCACGCGCAGTCCGCCCACCCCAGAGATCTGGCCTCCGCCACTGCCGCTGCCCATCCCGCGATGGCCCCCCAGTTCTCCCAGCCCATGTTCGGTCCGATGGCCACCGCCAACGTGCTGCCCCCCATCCGGAACAACGTCCAGCTCCCGCCGATGGAGAATGCGATCTCGCAGCAGTACGGTCGACAAGACATGATGGCGCCCTCGGACCGATTGCGGAAGGAGGAAAAGCCCACTGGAGGTGTCGCCGCCTATTTGGACTACGAGATGGACCAGATGTCCGACTTTGTGGCTGAGATGGCCCAGGGAATGTATGATTTGTACATCACCAAGATCAACCTATCTGATATTGACTTCGCTCGAAGCGTCTGCCCAGGAACCTCGGTCCCGCCTCAATTCCGGAAATACGTCTATCAGATCTTATCCTCGACCCGTCTTCCCAGCTCCACCATCCTTTTGGGCCTTTACTACTTGGCCTGCAGAATGCGCATGCTTTCTGCCAAGAAGGTCTACGCGGCGGGCAGTGGCCAAGTTTACCGCATGCTCACTGTTGCGCTCTTGCTGGGAAGCAAGTTCTTAGATGACAACACCTTCCAGAACAAATCGTGGGCCGAGGTGAGCAACATTCCCGTGGCGGAGCTGAACTCTATGGAACTCGACTGGCTTTTTGCGTTCGAGTGGAAGATCCATGACCGGATCCACGACAAGCAAGATGGATTCGACTCGTGGCTTTTGCATTGGAAGACATGGCGTACCAAAGCAGCCGTTCGCGCTCAGGAGTCGCGTACCGTTCTGGCACCCATTGACACCAATATCACTCGTGGCCCCATGATCAGCCACAACAGCAGCCGTAGCAGCAGCAGCAGCAGCAACAAGCAGCCTCTCATGTCGCCCGAAGGTCCGATTCCCCCGCAATACCAGCGACGCTCGCCTCTTGAAAACTCGTGGCTCAACCCAACGGCATCGGAGTATTCGCCGCCATCTGCTCCTCAGAGTGGCCCGACGACGCCTGATTACTACTCCGCCAATCCCTGGGCATACGCGAATGCTCCGTACTCACGCGCGTGGATGCCGCCCCAACAATCGTATCTGCCGCCGTCGACGTCGCGATCGCAAGTCCCGTCCTATCATCACACACCTTCCTACGGTTTGCCATTTGCTCAGAGCGTGTGGACTGGACACGGTTCGTCCTGCGCTTGCATGTACTGTGCCAAGCAAATGGATCACTACATGTTTTCCAACGCATTTGGCGCAATGCAGCCGATTATGGCTTAAAATGTTGCTTCTTTGATCGCTTACTGCTTACAGCGGTAAAATTCATTGCTTATTGTGCTTTCTTTGTTTATTCTTTTCTATCCGAAACTCTTCAAAATTCTTTCGATATCTCGGTTATGCTTTTTCTTGTTCTATTGTCTGCGCTTCGATGATACCGATTTTCTTGTTCAATTGCCGTTTTTGTGACTATTTCCGCATTTTGCTCCATTTACGGGTTTCCAACGCGCCGCTCCGCGTCGGCCGACAAAAGTATTCTTGTGTGTTTTTGGCAATGTCCGCGAAGCGAAAATTGACAAAAGAGAAAAAAAAAAAAAAGAAGAAAAAAACACATATCTTTTTTCTCCCCTTTTTTTTTTTGTGTTTTGTTCCCGCTGGGAATCACGCAAAGCCTGCCGCAGCTCCTCTCCATGTGTTTATGATA